CAGGTGCTCCCAGCTGGCATTGTGGGCTCTGGGACCCAGGTATTAGGTTGGGGGGGGGGCCTGGGAGAGCCTGGCTCTGGGGGAGGGGAAGGGGTTAAAAAACCCACAACATTTATATTAATTTTATATCAACAAATAGGTCAATTTTTTGCAATTGCATGAATAATTATATCTTTATACAAAATCTCAAACTTACAAGGTATCTGAAATTTTCACAGAAGCCTGTTGTATTTGATTAACCGGGGCCTCTACTTGTTTTTATTTCAACAAAACAAGTTATGCATCATAGACAAAATGTAAAAGTACCTTAAATTTATATTTATATTAAAAATGATGTAATATGAGCAAACAATTGTACACATCCAATGACTGTATTATTATAAAACAATCTCTAATAATAAATAACTACGACTTTCCGACAAAGAACATTTTCTTTGGTGGCCCTAGGGTTGCCGGGTGTCCGGTTCTTCTGCCTGGGACTAAAATGCTTTTTTCCCCCTTGACAAACCATCTGGGAACCCTAGGTGGCTCTCAAAGCTGTCAGGTTTTGTTCGTGCGGCCCTCAGGGGGCTTCGAGTCGGACATGCCTGGGCCAGCCCTGGGCCCTGGGGAATGCCCCTGGTGGCAGGAAGCCTTGGCTCAGAGCGCCCCTGGCTGCGACAAGGCAGTTCCGGGTGAGCAGGCTCCTCCTACCGTTCACCGCCCCGAGGAAGCTCTGCCGCTCCCCCCGGCTGCACAGAGAGGTTACGTCCCAGCCCAGCCACCGCATTTCCCAGGCTGCCTGCTCTCACTCAGGGCCCGGTGTGGCTCTGCCAGGAGGCTGTGCGCCAGGCTCATTAAGGGAGGATGTTCGAGGCAGCCTCCAGCCACTCACTCCAGTCTCAGGGTCACCCAGGCTCTGCCCAGAGCACTGTCAGCAACTCCCGGCATGGCCCCCCGCCCACCTCTGCGCGCCAGCGCCAGCTGCACCAGATACCCACCGTCATACTCCTCCTCGCTCTGCAGGCAGGCGTCACTCAAGACATTCAGCAGCCGGAGCACAGGAGTCGGAAGCATCACCAGATCCTCAATGTGGGGAGCTGCTTTTCCCACCCGCGGTGCCGGGGCAGGGGGGAGGGGAGAAAGCCTGTCAGTATCGGCCCCACAAAGGGGGATCAGAGCCTGTGCCCACCTAAGCCCTGCTGCCGGGGGAGGGGGGAGGGGAGAAAGCCTGTCAGTATCGGCCCCACAGAGGGGGATCAGAGCCTGTGCCCACCTAAGCCCTGCTGCCGGGGGAGGGGGGAGGGGAGAAAGCCTGTCAGTATCGGCCCCACAGAGGGGGATCAGAGCCTGTGCCCACCTAAGCCCTGCTGCCGGGGGAGGGGGGAGGGGAGAAAGCCTGTCAGTATCGGCCCCACAGAGGGGGATCAGAGCCTGTGCCCACCTAAGCCCTGCTGCCGGGGGAGGGGGGAGGGGAGAAAGCCTGTCAGTATCGGCCCCACAGAGGGGGATCAGAGCCTGTGCCCACCTAAGCCCTGCTGCCGGGGGAGGGGGGAGGGGAGAAAGCCTGTCAGTATCGGCCCCACAGAGGGGGATCAGAGCCTGTGCCCACCTAAGCCCTGCTGCCGGGGGAGGGGGGAGGGGAGAAAGCCTGTCAGTATCGGCCCCACAGAGGGGGATCAGAGCCTGTGCCCACCTAAGCCCTGCTGCCGGGGGAGGGGGGAGGGGAGAAAGCCTGTCAGTATCGGCCCCACAGAGGGGGATCAGAGCCTGTGCCCACCTAAGCCCTGCTGCCGGGGGAGGGGGGAGGGGAGAAAGCCTGTCAGTATCGGCCCCACAGAGGGGGATCAGAGCCTGTGCCCACCTAAGCCCTGCTGCCGGGGGAGGGGGGAGGGGAGAAAGCCTGTCAGTATCGGCCCCACAGAGGGGGATCAGAGCCTGTGCCCACCTAAGCCCTGCTGCCGGGGGAGGGGGGAGGGGAGAAAGCCTGTCAGTATCGGCCCCACAGAGGGGGATCAGAGCCTGTGCCCACCTAAGCCCTGCTGCCGGGGGAGGGGGGAGGGGAGAAAGCCTGTCAGTATCGGCCCCACAGAGGGGGATCAGAGCCTGTGCCCACCTAAGCCCTGCTGCCGGGGGAGGGGGGAGGGGAGAAAGCCTGTCAGTATCGGCCCCACAGAGGGGGATCAGAGCCTGTGCCCACCTAAGCCCTGCTGCCGGGGGAGGGGGGAGGGGAGAAAGCCTGTCAGTATCGGCCCCACAGAGGGGGATCAGAGCCTGTGCCCACCTAAGCCCTGCTGCCGGGGGAGGGGGGAGGGGAGAAAGCCTGTCAGTATCGGCCCCACAGAGGGGGATCAGAGCCTGTGCCCACCTAAGCCCTGCTGCCGGGGGAGGGGGGAGGGGAGAAAGCCTGTCAGTATCGGCCCCACAGAGGGGGATCAGAGCCTGTGCCCACCTAAGCCCTGCTGCCGGGGGAGGGGGGAGGGGAGAAAGCCTGTCAGTATCGGCCCCACAGAGGGGGATCAGAGCCTGTGCCCACCTAAGCCCTGCTGCCGGGGGAGGGGGGAGGGGAGAAAGCCTGTCAGTATCGGCCCCACAGAGGGGGATCAGAGCCTGTGCCCACCTAAGCCCTGCTGCCGGGGGAGGGGGGAGGGGAGAAAGCCTGTCAGTATCGGCCCCACAGAGGGGGATCAGAGCCTGTGCCCACCTAAGCCCTGCTGCCGGGGGAGGGGGGAGGGGAGAAAGCCTGTCAGTATCGGCCCCACAGAGGGGGATCAGAGCCTGTGCCCACCTAAGCCCTGCTGCCGGGGGAGGGGGGAGGGGAGAAAGCCTGTCAGTATCGGCCCCACAGAGGGGGATCAGAGCCTGTGCCCACCTAAGCCCTGCTGCCGGGGGAGGGGGGAGGGGAGAAAGCCTGTCAGTATCGGCCCCACAGAGGGGGATCAGAGCCTGTGCCCACCTAAGCCCTGCTGCCGGGGGAGGGGGGAGGGGAGAAAGCCTGTCAGTATCGGCCCCACAGAGGGGGATCAGAGCCTGTGCCCACCTAAGCCCTGCTGCCGGGGGAGGGGGGAGGGGAGAAAGCCTGTCAGTATCGGCCCCACAGAGGGGGATCAGAGCCTGTGCCCACCTAAGCCCTGCTGCCGGGGGAGGGGGGAGGGGAGAAAGCCTGTCAGTATCGGCCCCACAGAGGGGGATCAGAGCCTGTGCCCACCTAAGCCCTGCTGCCGGGGGAGGGGGGAGGGGAGAAAGCCTGTCAGTATCGGCCCCACAGAGGGGGATCAGAGCCTGTGCCCACCTAAGCCCTGCTGCCGGGGGAGGGGGGAGGGGAGAAAGCCTGTCAGTATCGGCCCCACAGAGGGGGATCAGAGCCTGTGCCCACCTAAGCCCTGCTGCCGGGGGAGGGGGGAGGGGAGAAAGCCTGTCAGTATCGGCCCCACAGAGGGGGATCAGAGCCTGTGCCCACCTAAGCCCTGCTGCCGGGGGAGGGGGGAGGGGAGAAAGCCTGTCAGTATCGGCCCCACAGAGGGGGATCAGAGCCTGTGCCCACCTAAGCCCTGCTGCCGGGGGAGGGGGGAGGGGAGAAAGCCTGTCAGTATCGGCCCCACAGAGGGGGATCAGAGCCTGTGCCCACCTAAGCCCTGCTGCCGGGGGAGGGGGGAGGGGAGAAAGCCTGTCAGTATCGGCCCCACAGAGGGGGATCAGAGCCTGTGCCCACCTAAGCCCTGCTGCCGGGGGAGGGGGGAGGGGAGAAAGCCTGTCAGTATCGGCCCCACAGAGGGGGATCAGAGCCTGTGCCCACCTAAGCCCTGCTGCCGGGGGAGGGGGGAGGGGAGAAAGCCTGTCAGTATCGGCCCCACAGAGGGGGATCAGAGCCTGTGCCCACCTAAGCCCTGCTGCCGGGGGAGGGGGGAGGGGAGAAAGCCTGTCAGTATCGGCCCCACAGAGGGGGATCAGAGCCTGTGCCCACCTAAGCCCTGCTGCCGGGGGAGGGGGGAGGGGAGAAAGCCTGTCAGTATCGGCCCCACAGAGGGGGATCAGAGCCTGTGCCCACCTAAGCCCTGCTGCCGGGGGAGGGGGGAGGGGAGAAAGCCTGTCAGTATCGGCCCCACAGAGGGGGATCAGAGCCTGTGCCCACCTAAGCCCTGCTGCCGGGGGAGGGGGGAGGGGAGAAAGCCTGTCAGTATCGGCCCCACAGAGGGGGATCAGAGCCTGTGCCCACCTAAGCCCTGCTGCCGGGGGAGGGGGGAGGGGAGAAAGCCTGTCAGTATCGGCCCCACAGAGGGGGATCAGAGCCTGTGCCCACCTAAGCCCTGCTGCCGGGGGAGGGGGGAGGGGAGAAAGCCTGTCAGTATCGGCCCCACAGAGGGGGATCAGAGCCTGTGCCCACCTAAGCCCTGCTGCCGGGGGAGGGGGGAGGGGAGAAAGCCTGTCAGTATCGGCCCCACAGAGGGGGATCAGAGCCTGTGCCCACCTAAGCCCTGCTGCCGGGGGAGGGGGGAGGGGAGAAAGCCTGTCAGTATCGGCCCCACAGAGGGGGATCAGAGCCTGTGCCCACCTAAGCCCTGCTGCCGGGGGAGGGGGGAGGGGAGAAAGCCTGTCAGTATCGGCCCCACAGAGGGGGATCAGAGCCTGTGCCCACCTAAGCCCTGCTGCCGGGCTTACCGAAGGGGATGCTGAAGAAGGGGCTGCCCAGGGCCTTTGCAGCGCTGGCTCTCTGCCCGGGGTCGCCGCCGACCCACGGCGCTCACAGGGACTGCCGACCCACGGCGCTCACAGGGACTGCCGACCCACGGCGCTCACAGGGACTGCCGACCCACGGCGCTCACAGGGACTGCCGACCCACGGCGCTCACAGGGACTGCCGACCCACGGCGCTCACAGGGACTGCCGACCCACGGCGCTCACAGGGACTGCCGACCCACGGCGCTCACAGGGACTGCCGACCCACGGCGCTCACAGGGACTGCCGACCCACGGCGCTCACAGGGACTGCCGACCCACGGCGCTCACAGGGACTGCCGACCCACGGCGCTCACAGGGACTGCCGACCCACGGCGCTCACAGGGACTGCCGACCCACGGCGCTCACAGGGACTGCCGACCCACGGCGCTCACAGGGACTGCCGACCCACGGCACTCACAGGGACTGCCGACCCACGGCACTCACAGGGACTGCCGACCCACGGCGCACGCGACTCTGGCGCAAAACGCACCTGCTGGGGCTCCGCACAAGAGCGTTCAGTAGTAACCGGTCCCACCAACACGGAGTCTGGAAGGGACAGATCCCAGCACAGGCCACAGCTAGGAGTGGCTCCATTTCTACCACCTGCCAGGAGCTGCAGGCGCGGCACCGGGGGTGCTCAAGCGTCTACACCCCACAGCGAGGTGGCCCGTCTCTGGCAAGCCTCCGTACAGGCCCGCAAAAGGCGGTGGCCACAGGGGCTCCACCACTGGCTGCTCAGGGACAAATGCCTAGGGCCTCTCCCAGCCTCCATGGGAGCTGTGACCAGCTGCTGCTCAGAGCCCCCTCCCCCCACTAGCAGCAGACTGGAGTGCCTCTGGAGCCAGGAGCAGGCAAGACTCTAAGCCACAGCAGCGCTGGAGCCCTCTCCTCTCCGAACTCAGGAGCATCTGCAGCTCTAGCTTCCTATTGGGCCAGGCTGAACCCAGGGAAGGCATTTCTCCCTACGGATTCCATCCGCAGAGGTGCTGGCAAAGCCTCGTTCCGTCGAGCTCTGCCTCCGAGTTCCCACCGACGCCCCCCACGCCGTGCAGCCCCGCTCGCACTGGAGTCAGGCCCAGCCACAGGGCAGTTCTGGGAGAGGAGGCAGCTTCGGCAAGGACTGCAGGACTGCCTGCATCCGAAGGCAAGGCCAAGCCTGCTCGGATCAGCACGTTCGCTATTTGCAATATACCTCTTGATAAGGTCTCTGAGGTGATAGGCTGGGATGGCTGAATTTACCGCACCGTCACTGGCAAAAATGTGATCAATGATAGCAGAACTGTTTGCCTGGAAAGCAAAAGCAGCCGGTTAGCAAGGAAATGAAGCCCGGGGTGAACAGTCACCACATGCTGAGCACGCGGGGGAGAGGAGTCTGATCTCCCCAGGCCCTGGGCAGCGGAGGGTGAACCATTCACTCCTCGCTGGAACGGGGCAGGAGCAGAGCGGTCATCGCAGGCATTGTGGGATACTGGGGGAGGCCAGGTCTGGAGGCAGTGCCTACAGCGACGCTCTGCCGCAGAAAGCGCCTCTGGCTCTCCTCACAGATGGTTTGGCTTTGTTGCTGAAGCTGAGGGGGCGTTGTAGCGTGCCTCTCTGCAGCTCCGCCGCCAAACTCTGCAGCGTAGCCAAGGCCCTGGGTTCCACCAAGTCCCGGAGCCTTAGCTTTTCGCCCATCCTGCAGGGACGGTGCCATTCGAATGCTCCAGAACAGCAGCTCCTCAGAGGACTGCATGCGGCTCGAGGGGGTGATTTCAATGCATTTTCGGGGCACTAGGAGCAGGACAAAACAAGGCAAGCTCCTCCAGCAGGACCAATGACCTGCACTTGGGGCCCACCGAGCAGGGGTTCCTCACCTTCCATTCCTGAGACTGGACCGTATGTTTCAGTTTCATTCCTGAGAACATTTCCAGTAGAACGATGCCTAGACTCCACAGATCGACAGCCGAGGTGCATTCCGTTTCGCTCGGGAACCCTGCCTGAGCCAGGCTGTTCTGCAGCTCTGCCTCCGGAGCCCGATACCCGTCGGTCTGAATGTATTTCACATCCTAGGGGAGCACGGAGATTCAGCCACTTTTCCAACCTTCCGACTCCCCGCCCCCCTTTACACCAGCTTCCAGAGTCCTTTCCCGATAGGCAGCTTAAGGGAAACATGGGAGCTGTTCAACAGCCAGCCAAGCTAGAGAGCTCAGGCAGTTTGAGTAGCCTACCTGTCAGCAGGGATGTACGCGAGTACTCGAGTTGACTACTCGACTACTCGCTTCCCTCCCCTTGCTGCAGCAAGC